AAAAAAAAAAAAAAAAAAAAAAAAAAAAAATCAGGACTTCCCAACAAAATATTCTGTCATTCATTCATGATGTAAATAATTCTGGTGTATGAGATCTATTAAAGTGTGGTACACATACAAAAGTCATGAGACATTTGTTTTGTAATAAATAAGGCAGTGGCCAATTATTATTCATTAGTAGCTTTTTTGAGAGAAGCTATCAAGTCTGACCTTTCTCCCTTCTTAATGCCAGCAAAGATCATTTTTGTTCCAGGGATGTACTTCTTGGGATTCTCCAAATACTCCATCAGTGTATCCTCTCCCCAGGTGATGCCTTTGTTCTTATTGGCATCAGTGTAAGGGAATCCAGTGGGCTGACCTGTCTTCCACTCAGTGATACCATGGAGATTAGGCCCAGTCTTGTGCTTACCTCCCTTTTCCACGGTGTGGCATTGGGAACACTTCTGAACAAAAATCTCCTTGCCTTTCTCAACGTCGCCCATATTTAATTCTCTTTTTCCATTGCTGGTGCAACAAAGATTACCACTCCGAAGCTGGATGTCCCACTATCTCACAGTGAACCATTTTTAACTTCACTCTATGGGGCAGGAAAGGGTAGAAGCTTGGGTTCTGGAAGTCCAAGAGTCCGATCCACTCATGTTCTCTGCTTTCTGAGATCTTAGTTGCATTGCCAGATGATCTGTGACTTGCCAAAATCTGAGTCATATACTCAGTCCAATAATTACAGAATCCTTCAGTGGACAAGAGCTTTAGAGGTCATCTAGTTTCAGGATGCAGAATACGTGGAATCCTTTCTCTATGATCCTTCCCATGGTGCTCTGGCAGGTGGCCAACCAGCCCATCCTGGGGAGTGTCAACAAGGCCTTCACTGTTTCATGAGGCAACCCATTCTATGATTGGGCAGCTCTGTTTCCTTCCTCTTATGGAGCTCCCTCCTCTGAGGCAGACATTGGACTGAGAAACACATGGATGACTGATACTTGGGCCTTTCCCCTCAGAGGCTCACCTCCTTTTTAGGACTTTCTTCTATTAAGTCAGCTACTGAGGTGTCCCCGTTACTCTCTGAAGTGACAACCTTTCAACTGATTGAATGGATATAGCTTCCCCTTGGTCATCTGTTGTTTAGGTTAAATACCTTCTATTTTATCACTAAACCAGTTGCTATTCTATGGTGTTCAGAGGTGGTATTATGCAGAGATTGAAGGCATGGGCTCCAAATTTGCACAGGTTTGGGTCAAACACCATGCACTGTCATTCACCATTTGAGGGCCCTGGAGCAATTTGCTTAACGTCTTTGAATTTCAGTTTCCTCATCTGTGCTTAACGCAATCCAATAGGATTACGTGAGATAATAGCCATAAAATCATTAACTCAGTGCCTGGCATATATTAAAAGCAATTTCAGAATGCACACCATAATGGTTGCCTGCCTGCAGACGTCATCTATGTGATGCCTGGCACTGGCCAAAATATGCCACGGACAATCTGACCAGCACACAGTTCTGTGGTGCCATTATTTCTGTTGTAGCCAGATTCTGGGGACCTGTGAGGAAGCACAGAGGAAGTGATATCTGAGCTATAACCTGAGAGATATGGAGGATTTATCCCCTTGAAAGGGAGGTGAATAGAAAGGAAGTCTCTGGGAAGAGGGGACAGCATGCGCCAAGGCCCAAAAGGGGCAGTTAAAGTGCATCAACTTGGCTGGAGCAGAGAGTTTGAGAAGCAAAGTGGTAAAAGATGACAAGGCTGGTCTTCTTATAAGAAGGGGCCGATCATGAGGGGCCTTATAAGGCATGACAAAGAACTTGGACTTTATTCTGAGGGTTACAGGGAGAGCTATTGACGAGTTTTAAGCACAGGAGTGACATGATGAATTTTGAGTTCTCCTGAGGAGAAGACTGAAGTATACACCTTGGATCACAGAGGTATCTCTGGGAAAGTTGAGTAGGGGAGATAATAGTCCTGTGCTAAGGATATTAATGGGATTTTTAAAAACAAAAACCTTAACAGGGCCACTGAGTCAATCCAGTGGCAGTATAAATGCTGGTTAAGCAGTGGGGCTCTAGAGTCTACTATGTGGGTTCAAGGTCTGTCACTTCCCCAATTATCAGCTGTGTGATCCTGAGAAAGTTTGCTAACCTCTCTTGGCCTTGGATAATGATCATACCCCCCCGAGAAGATTATTATGCAGGTTAAATAAAATAGCTCACTAATACGCTTAGCACAGTGTCTGTCTGGCACATGGTAAATAATGCCTATTGTCCTCAAGTCCCAGCAGGCACTGTAAAACAGTACGGTGGCATCATAAACCCTGCCAGCAGTGGAGGGTGAGGAAGGGAGAATTAATGTGATACCTTTAAACCTTAGAAAACCTCCAGGTCCTATGGAATTGGGCTCCTAATAAAGACCCTGAAATCATTAGACTACCTGAAAATGTGCCATTTAACTGCCTTGCACCTTAAGAATTAAAGTCCATGCCAGGCGTGGTATCTTATGCCTGTAATCCCAGCACTTTGGGAGGCCAAGTCGGGTGGATCATGAGGTTAGGAATTCCAGATCAGCCTGGCCAAGATGATGAAACCCTGTTTCTACTAAAAATATAAAAGTTAGCTAGGTGTGGTGGCAGGCGCCTGTAATCCCAGCTATTTGGGAGGCTGAGGCAGGAGAATCTCTTGAACCCAGAAGGCGGAGGTTGCAGTCAGCCGAGATCCCAACATTGCATTCCAGCCTGGGCAACAAAGCAAGTCTTGGTCTCAAAAAAAAAAAAAAAAAAAAAGAAAGTCCGCACTCACAAAGTGCTGGCCCCACAAGAAAACTTTTTATGAAACAGAATTAGGAGGCCCTCACATTCTGATGATTCCTACAACATCTAGTAAGATAATACTAATAGTAATTTCCTAGCCCCTGCCTCTCCCTGCCTTTCCCTTTCAAGCATATGTTCAGGCAACATGGAGCCTTGGAATGGTCTCAGGAGGCCCACTTGCACTCTCCAGGGTCCTGGCCTCACCTCCGCGGTGTCTCAGCTCCGTTAGCCTCCATGAGCTTTGACCAACTGCACATAGACCACACGTTCTCAGTGGGGATGGTATACCAAGGGTGTAAAAATAGTTTCTCCAAGGGCAAAAATAACCCCTTAGATATTACAATGGCTTTTGGGCCACCAAAGAGCCATGATACATAAGCAAATGTAGAGTCTGTCTGTGATATTGGAGTGGGGAGCGATTAGAAAGAAAATGTCTAAAGAGGCTTCTGAGGAGACGGATAATGCAAAAAAGGCTGAGAAACACTGAACCAGAGACACTTAATTTTGCCAGTCAGTATGCTGACTGAGCTCTCCTGCCTAAGGATTGGGAATACAAGTTCTCAGCTTGAAAGCAGGCACCAAGCAGGGTGGCTGTTTTGTTGCTGTATCAGGAAGCTGTTTTCTAAGAACTGGAGTGACGTGCAGTAGGATATGCAGCTGTGCCAGTGTGCTTTTCCGTGTCAGTTCCCGTGACTGGGTTCAAATGCTCCAGGACCCAGGTTTACTATTATGTAAACACTGTGGCATGATGAAAACATAAAAACATTGGAGTCAGACACACTGGATTCAAATACTAGCTCCTCTCCATACAGGCTTTGTGACCTTGAACACTTGTTCTACCAACAAGGATAATAACATTGATCTTCTGGAGCTATCATGCATAAGAACCAAACACAATCACTGGTAATAGTTATCTTTGTATTATCCAGGAAATTCAAAACCCTCACCTGGTCACCCTCTAGACTGGTCAATAAAAAAATACCTTTCAAGAAAGAAGCCCATCTGAAAAGGCTACATACTGTATGATTCCAACTATATGCCATGGTGGAAAAGACAAAACTATGGAGATAGTAAAAGTCAGTGGTTTCCAGGGGTTGGGGAAAGGGAAGGATAAATGGGTGAAACAGAGGATTTTTAGGGCAGTGAAACCATTCTGCATGGTGAATACCTGTCATTATATAAGTAAAACCCATAGAATGTACAATACCAAGAGTGAAACCTAACGTATACTGCGGACTTTGGGTAACAATGATGTGTCAACGTAGGTCCATTTTGTAACAAAGGTACCACCCTGGTGTTAGATGTTGATAGCAGGGGAGTCTGTACCTACGTGAGAGCAAGGGATCTATGGGAAATCTGTATCCATAGGCTGAGGCGGGTGGATCACCTGAGGTCAGGAGTTCGAGACCAGCCTGACCAACGTGGTGAAACCCTGTCTCTACCAAAATCACAAAAATTAGCTGGGTAGTCCCAGCTACTTAGGAGACAGAGGCAGGAGAATCACTTGAACCCAGGAGGCAGAGGTTACAGTGAGCTGAGATTGCACCACTGCAATCCAGCCTGGGTTATAAAGTGAGACTCCATATTAAAACAAACAAACAAACAAACAAAAAAAACCGCCAGGCACGGTGGCTCACGCTTATAATCCCAGCACTTTGGGAGGCCAAGGCGGGTAGATCACGAGGTCAAGAGATCGAGACCATCCTGGCCAACAAGGTGAAACCCCGTCTCTACTAAAAATACAAAAATTAGCTGGGCATGATGGTGTGTGCCTGTAGTCCCAGCTACTTGGGAGGCTGAGGCAGGAGAATTGCTTGAACCTAGGAGGCGGAGGTTGCAGTGAGCCAAGATCGTGCCATTGCACTCCAGTCTGGGCAACAACAGCGAAACTCCATCTCAAAAAAAGAAAAAAAAAAAAAGAAAGAAAAAGATATAGAGTGATTATCTGTCAATTAAAAATAAATCAATAAATAATATAAAACTACCTTTCAAAATGTGTAGTTGGCTCCACATATAGGAATAGTATTATTTGAGCAGCATCCTTTAAGTGACGTCAAATCTTTACATTAAAGTACTTTCCCTGGAAGCCCTCAGTTTATCACCACCACTATCATCATCATTATTAACAGCACAAACAACAAATCTCAGCTCACTCCAGCCTCCCAGGCTCAGGTGATTCTCCCACCTCAGCCCTATAAGTAGCTGGCTCCACAGGCAGGTATCACCACACCTGGCTAATCTTTGTATTTTTTTTGTAGAGATGGGGTTTCCCCATGTTGCCCAGTCTGGTTTTGAACTCCTGGGCTCTAGCCTTCCATAGGGCTAGGATTACAGGCATGAACCACTGTGTGTGCCTCTAAGTAGTTTTTATATTTTCTTTCTTTCTTCTTCTTTTTTTTTTTTGAGACGAGTTCTCACTCTGTGTTACTCAGGCTGGAGTACAGTGGTGCAATCTCAGCTCACTACAGCCTCAACCTCTTGGGCTCAAACAATCCTCCTACTTCAGCCTCACAAGTACCTGGGACTACAGGCACACACCACCACACCCTGCTAATTTTTTAATTTTTTGTAGAGATGGGGTGTTGCTATGTTGTCTAGGCTGTTCTTCAACTCCTGAGCTGAAGTCATCCTCCTGCCTCGGCTTCTCCAAAGTGCTGGAATTACAGGCGTGAGCCACCGTGCCCAGCCAGTTTTTATATTTTTATTTTAAAGACTACCATCACACCACAATTAACTAAAACAT